GCACTGTTAGCTAGATTTGGTTCTTCTAACTCTTGCCAGCTGTGGATAAACCAAAAATACAAGGCCAGGCTCCTGACAGGTCAAAACAGTGACTTCAATCCATGATAACTTGTTGGGGAGGAAAATTGGCCTCTTACCCACTCAACAAGCACACAGTTGTGGGGATGAGATAAAGTAAAAGTTGGTAACATCCACTAGGGCAGGGGCAGGAGAATTTCTGTGTCCAGAAGCAGAGGAGAATCAGAAACAATTTCAATGAGTATATGTGAGTTGAGGAAAGAAAAACAGACTTTGTACTGAGAATATTAAGAACAGAGAGCAGGGCTTAGCACAGTGGCTATAGCCTGTAATCCTTTTGGAGGTAGAGATTGGGAGATCATCGTTTGAGGCCAGCCCACAGATAAAATGTTCATGAGAGTCCATGTCAACTAACTCTGGATACAGTGGTGCATGCCTGTCATCTTCAGCAACACAGGGAAGCACAAGTAGGAGGATCGAGGGCCAGGCTAACCCTGAAAAAAAAAGGCAAAAAAGAACTGGAGGCATGGTTCAAGAAGTAAAATGCAGCCAAACACAAGTGGCTCACGCCTGTAATCTTAGCTACTCAAGAGGCTGAGATCTGAGGAACCAGGGATGAAAGTCCATGGTGGGGTGAGATGGGAAGGCAGGGATGGGAAGGGGAAACAAAGGAGGAGGCAACAATGCTTGATAAGAAATGTACTCATTATCTTGCCCTTGTAATTGTAACCCCGCTGTACAGTACTTTCACAATAAAAAAGAAACATTAATAATAAAAAAAGAAAGTCCATGGCACTCTTATCTCCAATAAACCTGCTCAGAAAACTGGAAGTGGCGCTGTGGCTCAAGAGGTAGAGCGCTAGCCTTGAGCTGAAGAACTGAGGGACAGCGCTCAGGCCCAGAGTTCAAGCCCCACGACTGACAAAAAAGAAAAAAGTAGTAAAATGCTTGCCAAGCAAGTGCAAACCCTTAGTTCAAACCCCAGTATTGCAAAAAGAAAGAGGGTAACTCTGATCAAGATGCATTCTACACACAAATGGCTATGTTAAACCAAAATCCTCTTGTACAACTATTTGAATATATATATATATATATATATATATATATATATATATATATATAATTTTTTGTTGTTGGTCATAGGGCTTGAACTCTGGGCCCTTCAGCTCAAGGCGAGTGTGTGGCCACAGTGCCACTTCCGGTTTTCTGGGTGTTAACTGGAGATAAGAGTCTCACAGACTTTTCTGCCTGGGCTGGCTTTGAACAGCGATCTTCAGATCTCAGCCTCCTGAGTAGCTAGGATTACAAGCATGAACCACAGGTGCCTGGCTTGAAGATCATTTTTAAATAATAAAAATGTATAAAAATAAAAGAGCAGCGAACTGACCTTCACTGCAGGAGAAAAGACCAGTGAATAAAGACAGCATGTGGTAATTATGGAATTTGAACCCAGGTATGTCTGCTTCCAAAGCCCACACTTTTAATATATACAGTATTAGTGTCTGCTAGCTAATAGGTACTGAGGAAATAGATGGTTCATGAAAGGAATTCATGCTCTTGCCACTTTCTGGGAAGTTTGTCTCTGTCCTTACTCATGCTCAGCTTTCAAGGGCCAGTTCAAATGTGTCCTTCCTCGGTTGCTGTGGATGAGGTGGGGGAGGCATTTAGTGCTGGGGAGGTACTAGAATAGGACTGCAGAGTGGAACTAAAAGAAGGATTCAAGAGTTTGCACTGCATTTGTGTACTAGAATACAGTTGCTACAAGATAATTTACAGTGGATTCTGCCTAGTCAGAATCATTTTAATCACTTAGGGGGGAGGAGTAGAAGCCATTTCAGGATAGGGGAACTGGGGAGAAGGCAAAATGTCTCGGCAGTAAATAATAGCACATGCGCAGTAAGAGTGAGGGCCGGAGAATGAGAAGAGCTCATTCTGATTTGAGAATTACTGCTCCTGCTGAAAGCAAAATAAATAAATAAATAATACTGCTCCAAGGGTTTTAAGGTCTTTAAACCCCTGAGGATTTAGGGATTTGTAATTCTATGCTATATAATACTTTAAAACCTAGGATATTCGGATTCCAAGGATTTTAAATCCCTATAACCTATGGACTCAAGCAATTTTTGAGCTATGAGATTCTGGGAGCTTAAGACCCAAAACAAGGATTTTTAACGGAACACTGGACATGTTAGATATTAATTAATCCCTTTGGAAGTTCAACTAATTCTTGGTTTAACTCTTGGAATAGTGGTTTCCAAACTGTTTTTCCCATAGTGTGGGAATCACTGAAGGTACCACACTAAAGGGGGTGGAGAGTGTCAATGTATAGGGAAAAAGATGATTTGGGAGGGATCCTAGGTCCCCCATTTTGGCTTCTCCAGGATAGCCCCATTTTTATCTGATTCATATATTGGACTTCTATATTCATTCAGAAGAAGGGATTTCCTGCTACAGCATGAAAAAAATAAGTTGTGAAACCTTTGTCCTAGGAGCCCAATCTATGTACTGCCATTTGAATGGCAAGTTGTCCAAGAAGCCACATGAGGCCTCTGAAGTTGTTTTAATTTTACTTCTCTTTTTTTCCCCCTTTTCTTTTATGTGCAGATTAAAATTGCAAACAGGGTGGGCACTGGTGGCTCACACCTGTAATCCTAGCTACTCAGAAAGCTGAGATCAGAGGATCCCATTTCAAGATGACCCCCACCCCCTCCAGGAAAGTCCATGAGACTCTGATATCCAATTAACCACCAAAAAAGCCAAAAGTGGATCTGTGGCCCAAGTGGTAGAGTACTAGCCTTGGACACAAAATCTCAGGGACAGCACTCAGGCCCTGAGTTCAAGCCCCAGAACCACCACCCCCATAAAAATATTACAAACAAGCACAATACTGGTGGCTCTCATCTGTAATCCTAGCTACTAAGGAGATTGAGCTAAGGATCAAACTTCAAAGCCAACCCCTGGCAGGAAAGTCTGTGATCCTTTTATTTCTAGTTAACCACCAAAAATCTGGAAATGCAGTTGTGGTTCAAGTAGCCGAACTCCAGCTATGAATGGAAAAAGCTAAGGGACATTGCCCAGGCCCTGAGTTCAAGCCCCAGTCCTGGCACACATACACATACCCTACAAACATACTTTAACTGCAATTATCAAATGGTGCCAGAGAGATCAGATTAAAAGACCTGACATATGAGTCATACAAAAGTCATTCAATCCTGTAAGCTCATTACTTTTATGAAATGAATAATATCAACTATTACTACTGTGACTACTACCATGTATTGAGTGGTTTTTATTATTTGCCAGGGCCTGAGGTAAATATTATATAATATATATGACTTGTATATATAAGATTTATATATACATATATATGATTTATACATAATTATACATAAAGATTATACATTAATGCAGAATATAAATTTACACACACACACACACACATATATTCTGATAGAATCTCACAAAAATCTGAGAGGAGCTATCATTTTAAAGATAAGGAGACCGGACTGGAGCTCAGAGTAGACCAGAGTCTTGCCCAAGGTCATGCAGCTAGCCCAGGGGAGATTCCACTTTACTTACACACAGAAACAAAAGGACTAAAAGAATTAAAGTGGTCAAAGATCAACTAGCTAGCTACCTGGCAACCTTAATTTAAAAAAATAAAAATAAAAAACAAAAAAAGTTCAATTTTGACCAATAGATGGCACTAGTGTGTGAGTTTGGTGGCCTGCTAATGGCAGCGTCTGATTTGGGGGAATCTCAGAACTAAAGCTGTTTATCTCAGAGAAAAAGGAAAGACCAAATAGTCATTGTTCCACTCAATAAGATGACACGGTCTGATATCCTTTGAAACTAAGCAAAGACACAGAGAAAATGCAAGGGTGACTGTGCTTTGTGAGAGGACCTAAGAATTTTTCCTTCAGTATTTTCCTGAGTACCTCCTCCATGTCTGGATGAGTGCGGTGGTATGAAGTCATATAGGAATATCAAACTCAGTGCCATCAGAAGAGAGACAGGTGCATGTTAGGGGAGGCACTGGATATGGAGGGGGAGAGCATCCAGCCTGGACTCGGGAGCTTTGAGAAGCTTCCCCCAGGAGGGTTGTATGAACTGCTCTGTTGCATGAATGGGAGATGACATGGCATTCAAAGGTGGAAAGGCATTTTAGGCCAGAGGTTTAGAATTGTGGACACGTTAGAAAGCATGCCACATCCCAGGGTAGGCAGGGGAAATTCCAAGTGTTGAGAAATAAATCTCAGCAAATTGGAAAGTTCAAATATCACATTAAGGGCTTTACTTGTGACTATAGATCACTGAAGGTGTGTATACAAACATGGATTTTTCTGGGTAGAAAAGCCATTGATTCTCAAGGGGACCTGTGACTAAAGGGGGTGGGGAGACAAACAGACCATAAATCCAGCTCTTAGTGAAGCAAGGGTATGACCTAGTCTGTTCTAGTGTCCGGTGTGCAAGCCAAATTGCAAAAGACCTTGCTGTAAGCAAGACAACTAGTTGAAAAGGAATTAAGGCAGGAGTAAACACAGAGGCTTGAGCGATGGTACAGACAGAAGGAGCCAAGGAGATAAAATTGGATGGATTTAGTAATGGCTCCCAAACACTTTGCCTAATAGCTATCTCCAGGCTCAAAAGCAATGATACCCCTCAAATCTGTCTACTCATTTGAACATTCAATTGGTCCTTCGGGGTTTTTTTTGTTGTTGTTTCTTTCCTAAGTTGTCCTTGATATTTAAACAATGCTGATTTCTCAGATTGATACAGTGGGCCCAGCCCCATGCTGGGTCCCTCATTTCTACATCTCAGTGGAGAAAAATCTGTCAACTGACCTCAGGTGGAGCAGCAAATTGGCCTTGAGCTGGTCTCTGATCACCCCCTCCGCCCCTCGTCCTCCGCCTATGGCTTCACAACATGGGCAGAGTTCAGTTAAGAAATCAACACAGTTCCAAGAAAAAGGCAAACATCACCCAGTTTATTTTTCTTCTGATTCATCTCATGCCAACACATAGACTTAAATGGATAATAGCAAGTAAACATGGAGGGGGTCCCCAAAGCAAGCTGATTCTCTTGTGCTCACTTCCCCTCCTGCCAAAACCATCAGAAAGGCACCCCAACTTTGCTTGGATCTGGTACTGGGGTCCCTGATGTGAAGCCAGCCGTCAGGCTTGGAGAGAATGGTGTATGTAGCCACTTAAGAAGGCTGACGGGTCAAAAGGCCCTGAGGAGTCGGTGCTTCCTCTCTATAGGGTCCGGTTCTGTTCATTGGGATGTCAGAAAGCAGATCTTCCTTCCCCTAGAGCTCCTAGGACCTTCCCAGTGTAGATACCAAAAGCAGCTCAGACAATGAGATGCCCAAGGCCAAGCCTCACAGGCCACTCATGGAAGCCAGGGGTGAGCTGGGTAACTGGAGGACACAGTTTTCAGTCCAGAAATCTGTGCCTGGAGACTCTTGGCTAATTGATGCCCTCAAAAATGTGCCAGGCATACTAAACCCCAGTCTGACTGCTTCAGTTTGGACTGGTCAGGGGAGGGGAGGGCGGGTGAGCTGTGACCCAGTGTGGTGTACACTCTGATAATCTCGCACACCCTCCTGGCCCTTTTTTGTTGGCCTCCTCTTTCTCCTCCTCTTCATTGTCTTCATCCTCGTCTTCTTCCTCCTCCTCCTCTTCACTGTTAGAGTCCTCATATAGGTTGATGGTGGCCTGGACAGGGAAGTTATGTAGTAAAATCTCCCCAGCACTATACAGGTAATCGAAGGAGCGAGATTTAGGCCAGAAGAGCCTGTGGACAGAGACACAAAGAACTAGCATAGACTGTTGTCATGTGTACATGAGCTACTAGGGCTAGGAAGAAACTATTCTCCAACCCCTTTCTCTTAGCTGCAGTAATAAGAGTTAGAGGGAAAGGAAGAAAGACAACAGAGCCTTCTGAACTGCTGCAAAATTGCCTCTAGGAAGGAAGTTCACCTCTGGCAGTGCTACAACTATGGTGTGTGGCAATGTCGTAATCCCACCCCTACATCCCAGGAGGCTCTAGGGAAGAAGTCTCTGGTCTTGTGCTCTCCATCTCTTCCTACTAAGGATTCCTCACAGTTGAGTACATAAAAGTTCACCAATAATTTATCCAGAGAATGTAACTTCCGCCAATTACATCCCTCAACCTCTCTAGGTAGTAGTGTCCTCAACAATCAAACAGGGATCAGAGCCTCTTTCCTCCTGCTTTGTGAGTTTTTTTGTGAGGGCTTAAAGAGCTAATGGATTGTATCAAGTTCTGAGCTCGGGGCCAGGAGCTTACCTGACAGGGTGATGGAACTCAGAGTTAGCCTTGGTGGCCTCAGCAGCTGTTGCCCCATGAGCAGCCTGTCCAAAGCAAAAGCCAGCATGTAGCTCAAAGTACAAGGCCAGATAATGGCCTGCACATTAGAGGTCAGAAACATGCAGGAGGGCCTAAAAGAGACCTTAGACATCCCTGGGCTCCACCACCTCCCAACTCTGCTCTGTAACACGAGAGTCTGTCCTGGATCTGACTGAAAAACAAGTGAACAGAGTCTTGGAGGTCTGCTTGCTTTGTGGTCCCTGTCCCAGCCTGTTTGGAAGCTGTCCAGGACACAGAGCTTGACTGAAGCATCAAAGATTCAGGGAGGTGGGGTGCATACAGACAAAGTGCCAGGAAGATAGGGATTTGACTACGAGCTCTACCATACACTGGCTGGGAGACCTGCCCAAATCTCCTCTCCACTCTGAGCCTCAGTCTCCTCAGCTTTCCATTTGCTCTAGAAATCTTGGTCCTGCCCTCACCACAGAACTGCTGGAGAACCAAATGTTAGCAAAGCTGCGAGGATACTTCTCCAGATCTACAGCTCGGGACTGAGCTCAGAGAATCTCTGGGAAGGGACCTGGCCAGTGAATGCATATAGCTGTGTGTTCCTCTAAAAGCATGTCACAAAGACTCAAACACACCCAGCCCACCAGTTTCCTCACCTGCCTTAAGAGGTCATTTGTGGAAGACAGCCAGGGCCTCCAAAGACAAGTTCCTCTATAACAAAGAAGAAAGATCAATTTGAAACGTGGGCTCCCTGAACTAACAGAAGTGGCTTCCAGAAAGCTTGGCTCTTGGGCCATGTGCTCTAAGAAAATTTCCTTAAGTCCCTTGAGCCAAGGCCAGGATTGACCGTCCCTCTGTTCTCTGCTTCAACAATGTTATCATTGCTCCGATCCCATTGTTTCCATGAGCTGTTTGATCACATCTGAATCCTCAACACTTAGCACAATGCCTGGTCCACAGCAAATGCTGCAGGAAACATTAGTTGAATAGGAAATACTTGGAGGAATAAACAAGGGTTGGGTGAAAAATATCTGGTCTTCTCTGTTGTGCTCCAAGAAGAAGCGTGGCAGAATCCCATTTCCTTCCTGAGCTGGAAAAGAGGGAACAGAAATATTCCTGGGTCCACAGCTACCCTCCTTAACTTCCAAAGGTAAGCAAAGAGCAAGTGGCAATGGAATGGAGTGGCCAGGAAAAAGCATCACCCTGTCTAAGATTTGTCCCCTCCATGACCCTCCCCCCCGCCCCCCTGCCGTCCTGGATGCAGGCGTCAGAGTCAGGGTTGTGTCAAGCTCAGTGTTCATAGTAATCTTCCCCAGGGCCCTCAAGGGACTCTGCAAGCTGGCTCATGAGGGCCTGACTGCTTGGCCTCCAGCTTTGGCAATGTTCCCTATCCCCCATAGCTTCTCCTGTCACCCAGAAGGATCAGGTAGGTGAAAAGTTAGATGAAATAATTCAGCCAGAGATGTGGAAGGAAGGTTGTGAGGGCATTGCCTCATCCCTTCATAGAGAATGGCACCATGGGCATCTCATCCACCTCCTTCCCCCAGGAGCCCCTTAAGCTTTGGTTGAGGTTGTCTAAGACCAAGACCACATTCTACTTACCCTTCACTCCCAGGTGCTTCTTGTCCAGAAGGGAGAAGGGGCAACGGATGTGAAAAGCCACAGGCTGCTTGAGAGGTTTGTGTTAAGGCAGGGCTTAGGGTAAGGGCCAGGGCTGGGCCAGGGGCGGCAGCGGCAGTAGCAGTAGCAGTAGTAGCAGTAGCAGTAGCAGTAGCAGCAGCAGCAGCAGAGACAGCAGGCTTCATCTTTAAGGATAACCAGGCCAGGTGGGCTGTGGGCTCTCCTACGTCTCAAAACCTTCGGTATGCTTTCAGTCTTTCTCCAGAGACCCTTTTATAAGCTGTGCCTGGACTCATCAATTATTCCAAGAGTGTGAGGTAGGGGTGTGGGAGGGGACAAAGATTTAAGGAGGGGGCTCAGGGAAGGAGAGCTGGGTTCCTGGGTGTGAAATCTCTCCCAGTTGAATAAACAGGGTTGCAATGGGGGGGTGAGGGGTTTGTTTTAGCTCCAAGTCAGAAAGAAAAACAAAGACAGGACAAATTTCACACCATTTGTGTGAATTCCCCAGGCAGCAGCAAGACCCAAGTGGGGAAGGAGGGGAGCTCATTAGCACCCAAAACGACCTAGGATTGTGGGGTGGGGGTGGGGGGGTAGAACTGATGGTTGGGTGGACAGGCTTTTAGCAAACCTGGTTCCCAGTGACAAGAGACAGCTGCCCCCTCCAAGGGGAGTGAGGGACTCACCGGCTCTTTCAGCTCAAATCCCAAAGAGATTTGCCAGGTAGGCCTGATAGAGGGTAACTGCCATTAACCAGGTCATCATCAGGGTCAGGAAAAAAATAGGGTTCTGGATGGAGATGGCTCAATTGCCTATGGAATAAATCACAAGTCTTCTTTCAATGCTCCCCACACCCCTTGGGCTTCAGCAGTAATGATGCAGTGAGGGAAAGCCAGCCGCAGGCAGCTCCCTGGGCCTCTGGGGCAGATTCCAAATCTCAGAGCTCAGCTTCCAGTTCAGGATCCCAGGAGCAGAGGGAAGGGAGATTTCTGCCCCACACTAAATTGCCAAAGACCATCCCAGGCTTAGGTTCTCTCACGTGAGATGAGGATACTGGCCCAGTGGGCCTCAAGGGCCTTGCCAGCTTGAACACTCTGTGCAGAAGCTAGGTAATGGGTACTGACCCTGGGCAAGCCCAGAGGCTGAGCACAGTCCTTGGCCTTAGCCAGCCTTCTGGGCCTTAGCCAAAAAGCTTCCAGTTACAACTACTGGCAAGCACCTTATGCTTTAGAGGTCTCAAAAATATTCCCCCTGACCTCAGTGTCCAGCACTAGCCCAGATTTAGTGTCTTGGATATTCATCACAGCCTGGTTTGTAATGATCAAAAATTAGAAACAACCTCAACATCCATTAATAGGAAACCAGTTACATTAATTGGGACAAATCTTTGTAGCCAGATTCTGAAGAGATATTCACAATTGTGTTTTACGAAGCATAATGATCAACATAGAAAATGGGGGAAAAAACAGACGATAAAATAGTATGATCAATTTGGATTCTATGATTTCTCATTTCCCTTCTCACCTTCCCCCTCCACCAGCAGCTCACTTCCAATCCCAGCCTCATCATGTGATTTGCAGCAAAGAAAAATGGGAACAATCTAAATGCCTTACTTGTAAATAGCTGGTTAAAGAAATCATTGAACAGTTAAATAATTTGATAAAAATGGCCTGGTAGAAGAGTAAAGAAAAAGATAACATTTTCATGAGTGAAAAACATAAACTTCTAAAATACTGCTTACAGGGCAATTCCATATTTGTAAGAAAAAGTGTGGTTTATGCAGTATGCAGGTAAGACTAGTTAGAAGAAAGGATATCACAATTGTTGGTTCTGAGGGTAAGAGAATTCTTAACATCTTTCTTCATGATTTTTCCTGAAATTTCAAAAAGCATTCCACAACTGCACTGGTAGTTTTTGGGTACCAAGAGGTAAAGACAGATGGGGGAAAAGAAAGCAATATAGAGAGTTTTTCTGAATAAAACACAATAAATGCACATCTGAAATATAATAATGAAACTCCTTGGTGCAATTAATACACACTGGAAAAAAAAGAATGTCAGGAAAGTAAAACTAGCTCACATAGAAGAGACTGGGCACCAGCAGGAGTGTGAAGGGCTATTGGAGAAGATGAATGAGGATGAATACTGTCAGTCTCATTTACTTGCATATATGAAAATAGAACAGTGAAACCTGTGGAATTTTTCAAGTAGGGAAAGGGGGAGGAGAATAGGAGAGAGAGGGGATGAGGTTTACTTGTGTGGAAATATTACAATGAAACCTGTTTGGACAAGAAACAGTATGCTCTTTTTAAAAGGGGGGGGGGAAGAACTAATAGAAAAAAAGTGACAGATTAAAATAAGAAGTAATGGAAGAGAACATGGAAATCCCTGAAGGAGAGGAAACTCTTAGGAAAATGACAACCATTCTGAAATATCTAGGATTAGACCACAAGGTGATTACACTTGTTCTGTGTGACTTCAAAGTGCAGGGCTGAGGCCCAGAGAAAGAAGCTCCAGAGAGACACATTTTGGCTCAATCAAAGGAAAACTTTCTAACAGCTCAGCCACCACCTAACCCAAGGCCCTGGCACTGCACCTCCTCTGAATAAACAGAGGTTTATTATATGAGATGAAATGAGTCCAGTGGAATGTGCTGCTTTGGATCAGGGAGAGCAGTCTGTTCCTGAGATTTTTTTTAAAGTACAAGCTGGATCGTGAAACCTGAAAGGGGAATCCTGGGGAAGTGAGGGCTGCTGGGAAGTCCCAGCTTCTATGAGACCCTGAGTATTCACAGGGTGCAATGAGGGGTGAGGATAAGAAGGAGGGATGCCTTAGAGCAGATTGGGATGAAACATGTGAGGGAGGTAGAAGCTCAAGATATACTGTCACCCAGTAGAGTCCTTTTAACCTCTGGGTAGCCTCTGACAATAGGCAGGAGACAGGAGGGAAATGGTTCCTGCTAAAGGAGAGTCTTGCCAGTCATCTTGCTAGCCCCCCCCCCTTGAACTTGTGTTCCTTTAGCCACTTTCTTCACAACCCTCCACAGTAATGGCTCAGAGGCCCCTTATAACCCCACTTCCAACATGTTCTTCTAGAGCCCAGGAAGCCTTAGATACTACTATCATGTTGGCTAGTTGTTTTCCCTACACAACTGTTCTTATTTGCTCGTAGGCTCTTTCAACCTGTGGGAGGTGAAGGCCTTGGGTTCTCTTGTTGGCCTGTCCCAAGCCTTGCAGGATTAAAAGCCTGTTGCTGGGCAAAAATGGGAGCACTGCCATTCATTTGCACTTAGCACAGAACAAGAGTCAGGTGGCTGGCAGGGTAGCAGAAAAAGTGTATGTCAACCAATATAAAGACTGGAAAAATGAAGATATTGCTTGTGTTTTCTCTAACAATCCTTTTGTGCTTGTAAGTTTTGTCAGTGATTGCTCTGCCAGAGTTCCTGAGAGGACTGCGTGTCCCTTCTGGGTCACACACTGATGCACATTGCCTAGAGAGGGAATGGACTGGAAAGAAGGAGATGTGGACCTTGTCTCAGAGTGTGCACAGCCTGGATTGGGAGACAAACCTGTTGGAAGACAGCCTCAATGAAACTCTGCCAGGCAGATCCCCTTTAGTCAACCTCTAACATGTTAGTTACCTTGTCAAGTCTTCAGGGCCTCTATATTTCCCTGGGCCACATTCCAAATTTCCTTCAGCTTGCTACCATATTCCTGCCCCACGCCTCGCCCTGCTCGGAACAACCTCTCCTCCTACTTCCCTGAGAAAACACAGGCCTTCAAGCGTGAATTACCTCAGTGCCCTATCCCCCCTCCCTTCCACCCCCAATTGGCCAGGCTCTCCTACTTCCTTCCCCTCCAAGTCCTCCCTTCTCAGGGGACAAGGTAACCCTTTCTTTAAGGGCTAATCCCTTCACCTAGACTGGGCCTTTGTCTCATCCACCCTTCTTGTCTGAGCCCTTCCTCTAAGACTTCATGCTCCTTCTCTCCAGTCAAGTTTGGCTTCTCCATACCAGCTCTTTCTGAGTATGAATTGCCTGACTCTGATCTCCCAGCAAGCACACTCCCTGTGTTCCTTTGTTCCCTTATCTTGTTCTCTTTTTATCCCTTCCTCCCTTCCCTTCCTCCTTCCCTCTCTATGGGTCCCTCCTTTCTTTTCTTTTTTTTTATTGTCCATAACTTCCCTAAATATTCCTGTCTCTTTTTTTAAAATGTTGATTGTTATTATCAAGGTGAGATACAAAGTGGGTACAGTTGCATAAGTCAGGTAATAAGTACATTTCTTTTTGGACAATGTCACCTCTTCCCTCATCTCTCTGTTTTTCCGTCCCATCCCCACCTACAATTTGTATAGTTCATTTTCAACATAGTGTCTGTGAGTGAAATCTCTGCATTTGTTCTCTCTTTTCTTCTTATCATCTTCAGGTTCACTGAAAGTACAGTCTAAGCTCTACACTGATACTTTCCCCAGCTTCCCATCGACACTTCAGCCAACTGCAAATTGGCCCCAGTTCCATCATTCCCATGAAAAGGGCACTGACAAAGGTCACCAATGCTCTCTTATTTGCCAAATTTCATGACCTCTTTGAACTCTGGGTGACAAAGACATTGTGAGCCAAGTGCTCATTTCTGAAACTCTTCTTTTGGCCTCCCTGATCACTCTCCCTCCTTTACCTCCACACTTTCTGTCTTTTTCTTTCCTCCTGCCCCTCAGTCTGTCTCTGTGTAATTAAAGCTTATAGTCTCTCTTTTGAGTGTTGTGCTGTGATTTTTTTTTTGCTTGAGATATGTTTTTGTTCTGTAGCCCACGCTGTTTTTTAATTCATAATCCTCATGCCTAACTCTCCTGAGTGCTGAGATCACAGGCAGGAACTACCATGCCCAAGTCTCACTGTCTCTTTTGCTTACTTCTCTTTTGTCCATATTCACTATCAGTGGTCATCAAAGGCCAGTCCTCAGAGGAGGCTGGTGCATATTAATGTTTTCAATGGTTGCAATAAAAGGAGAAACGTGGGAATGGTGGGGATTACTGGAAGAGAGTGAAAGAAGGGGTAACATTGTCCATAAAGAAATGTATTCTTTATATGATTTATGTAACTTTAACCCCTCTGTACATCACCTTTATAATAACAATGAAAATAAAAAAGGAGAAGCACTCTACTAGGATAATTTTTAACATCTATATGTATTCTATTATAAACAATTATTCTTCATTCTGACAATATGTCCTTTTACTTTTTTGGTGGTAAAGCAATTCTTTTTCAGAATGAAGTTGATAGCAAATGTTAGTTTACTTTCTTAATATTATTCTCATCTAACAAAATAAAATGTTAGTTTCTCTATGTCAGTCTCATACATATTTATCAAATAAATGAAAAAAGAACAGTTAAATTTTTAGCCTGAAGTTTTCCCAATAGTTATCTCAAATTCATTCCAAAGCTGAATAAGTTTTCTTCCTAACAAATCTCTTCTGGACCCACTCAGAAACCAGTATCAGATCTACTCAGGTACCCTCAGCCCTCCTGACTCTTTTTCTGAGACAGGGTGTCTCACTCTGCAGCCCAGGCTTGCCAGAGACTCATAATCCATCTGCCTTATCCTTCCAAATGCTGGGATTACAGAGGTATGTGCCACCATATTCAGCCTCCCTGTTGATTTTCATTTTTTACTGTTCAAGTTTGTCAACTCCATACTCCCTGTTCTCCTAGCTGTTTCATTGATAGCTTATTCTGCCTTGTCCCTATTTCTCCTGGGTATCTGAAATAGCTCCCTGGTTGTCCTTGACTTCATTTTGCCAATCAATTCTCCTAACACATGCCCACTAATCTAAAATATACACCTGAGTGTGGTTTTTGTCTGCTTTTTCACTGTATTTGATGTTGGTATAATTTGTGGAGGGGAAGGGAAAAAACAAATTGTTTAAATAGGGATACAGGTGGATCCATTGCAACAATGAGATGTACAAGTCGTTATGTTGAAAAATGAACTTTACAACTTTGGTGGGGGAGGGACGATTGAGAGGGGAAGATGGGAAGGGATGGGAAGGGGAAACAAAGGAGGCAACAATGCTTGATGAGAAATGTACTCATTATCTTGCCCATGTAATTGTAACCCCTCTGTACAGTATGTTCACAATTAAAAAAAAGACTTTAAATGATTCCTAATTGTCCAAAGGAAAACTCCATACTCCTCTCCAGGCTTCTGCCTCCTCAGCCCTCCACACACTGTGAATAGGTCATTCATCTGTAATCTTTTCAGGGGTTAAGGCCTTTGAACATCTTAATCTCACCCTGAATAGTTTATCACAGAAGAAGGGAAACTCAAGATCAAAACCCATGACAGAGTTTAAAACTAATTTAGTTCGTAACTACCAGCACTCAGCAAAAATGAATAGCAAATAGAAGAGGAGGTCATATGTGGTAAGAAAGATATTATTCTGTGAATTCTTTAATTTACTTAGATGAGTATATCTACATATAAATATACACAAATGCGTCCACTGGGTCATGCTGTAAAATATCTTTTTGTTATATTTTATTTATTCTTGAAACAGTTTCATTATTAGTTAAGGCTGATTGTAAATGCATTATGTGGTCAGGATAATTCTCTTACTTCAGCCTCCTGTGTGCTAGGATTACAGTGTCACTATGCTCAGAATCATTAAAAAATATTTCTTTTTGTTATTGTTTTCATTTCTGTTTTTTGGTATTAGGGATCAAACTGAGGACCTTGCACATACTGCACAAGTGTTTTACCAACTACAGCCATGCTCTGAGCCCCATAAAATACTTTTCTTATAATGGGTCACAGTCAAAATACCTGACAGCACTAAAGGAGTGAGTACAGATGTTGTGTGATTCATTGAGTCAGTGCTGGTCACATCACAGCCCTTTGCTGTCACAATGTTTCTGGATTCACTGGGGAGTAACAGAGATCAGGAGAATGGATAATGCCAAGAAGACTTCATGAACGAGGGAAAGACTGACCTGACCTGGGTTTAAAGAGGCAGAAAAGGGGGGGAAATGTAATCTTGGCAGGAAGAACTGGCACAGAGGCAGATAATAAGAGTAGAGAACATTTGTTAAACATTTATGTGCCAAGCATTGTTCTAAATGCTTTGCATGGATTAAGCCTTACAAGCAAGCTCACGAGAAAGATACTGCTAAAAGCTTTATTTTTGTAGATGAGACTAGAGAATTTGCCCAAGGTCACAGAGCTCCAAGTGATAAATGCAGGACTTCAGTTCAGAGTGTCTTTGTGCTCTAATCACTGCCCACACTTCTGCCACTGGGGCAACAAGGAGGAAAGTCAATTACCCAGGGAACACATTGAGCCCAGGTCAGCAAGCACTGATTGATGAAGCATGACCCTGAAAGCTGGGCTGCAAGCCCTAGCCACCAGCTTTCTTCCCACATCCAGAAAGGAGATCTTCCTTATTTCCTCCAGCTACTGCCTCTTGAACCAGGGGTCTGGGTTGAGGACAGAAAATTTATATTGGCCTAGTGAGGGTGCCAGGTGGAGAATGGGCCTGTTCTGAGAGAGGAGGAAAGGAGAAGATCCTCTCCCCTGCCTCAGCCTGTCCCCAAAGCAAAAATAGCAAATGGTGCCTGGGGCCTCTGTCCTCAAGTCCAAATGTCCCAAATGTGCCAAGTCTTAGACCCAGCTCTTTGGGCTCCTGGGACAAGGAGTCCCCTCTGGAGAACAGTTTGTTGCTAGATCAACTCTCCTCCTGCACCCTCTGCCTCTTGGCCCGCCATTTGAGTGAGGGCCGCGGCCCATGTGGTGCAGGCTTTCTTGGCAGAGCCTCTCGCAGCTCCCCATTTGCTCCTCATTTGGACTGCAGAGGCCTAGAAAAACAAAACTCTAAGGAGGAGGAGGAGGGCAAGAAGGAGGGGGCTTGGAAAGGTCAGCTGGGTTCCTTTTCTCCTTAATTTAGCCAGTTTAGGTCTCGGCATGGTTTCTCAGACCAGTCTCTTCAGCTCCTCTTCTGTGACACCATCTCCTTTCCTAGCCTATCATTAGACTTTGGGAAGATGGAATGATGCTGAATTCTTTTTTTTTTTAATTTTATTTTATTTTATTTGTGAACATACTGTACAGAGGGGTTACACTTGCATGGGCAGGATAATGCGTACATTTCTTACCAAGCATTGCCGCCTCCTCCTTTGTTTACCCTTCCCTTCCCATCCCTTCCCAGCCTCCCCCCTCCCCCCCATCCCAATCCTTCTCCTTCCTCCCTCACCCCTCCTTCCCCCCCCCCACCGACGTTGTAAATCTCGTTTTGGACATGACAACTTGTACTTCTCATTGTTGCATCAGATCCACCTGTATCCTTAAACAACTGGTTTTTCCCCATCTCCTCCACAAGTTATACTGACATCAAATATAGTGAAAGCAGGGGTTATACTGTGGGGGAGGGACATACAAAGCAACAAAGAGATAATCTTATAAATGCGTTAGAAACACATGCATGAAAGAAAAAACATTAAAATACATATCTAAGGGTTCATTTTCCTGACATCACATTATCTGACCTTTTCCGCTTGACTCATACATATACTAGATATTGCAAATAAGGGAAACCATGGGACCTATGTTTCTTTGAGCCTGGCTTACTTCACTTAATATAATTTTTTCCAAGTTTTTCCATTTCCTAACAAATGGGGCAATGTCATTCTTTCTGATGGAGGCATAGAATTCCATTGTGTATATATACCACATTTTCTTGATCCATTCATCTACTGAGGGGCATCTGGGTTGGTTCCAGATCTTAGCTATGGTAAATAATGCTGCAATAAACATAGTTGTGCTGGTAGCTTTAGTGTGGTCTTGTTTGTAAGCATTTGGGTAAATGCCCAAAAGTGGGATTGCTGGGTCATAGGGGAGTTCTATGTGAAGTCTTTTGAGGAACCTCCATACTGCTTTCCAAAGTGGTTGAACAAGTTTACATTCCCACCAACAATGAAGTAAGGTTCCTTTCTGTCCACATCCCCTCCAGATGATGCTGAATTCTAAGTAATGCAGTCTTGTTAGTCTCATTGTCCTGGTGATTCAGGTTAAATCACCATCAGATACTGGTAACCACTAAATGATATATTCTTCTGAAGCATATCCTAACAAACAGTAAAATTGTCAACACAAATCCATGCCCAGTGAAAAGCCTGCAATTTTAACTATTTGGGAAGTAGAGATCAGGGGATCAGGATTTGAGGAGAGTCCAGACATTAAAGGTTAGTAGACTTCATTTCAACCAACGTCTGGGTGTAGGAGTGCATGCCTGTCATCCTAAAGACAAAGGAAAGGACAAATACAGGGACTGCAGTTTTGGCTGGTTTGGGAATGGAGTGGCTCAAGTGATAGAGTGCCTACTTAGCAAGCATGAAGCCCTGAGTTCAAACCCCAGTACCACCAGAAATGATGACAATGGCAATTCAAATAGATAATAGTTTCTGAGTGCTTACCATGTGCCAGGCACTGCCATTCTGCATCAGGCTCCTCTGTTTTGCAAAAACTGGGCTCTAGAGTTCAACTTGGGTAAGCAGAATCATAATTATCTCTACCTCACAGAATGTCATGAAGATTGAATGAAACAGTGTGTAGATTTTATTCAAAGCCTGACATGTGTTTAGCACTCAGTAGCCATTTGCTATTTTCATTATCATAATTATTCCTTTCTCCTGCCCCGCCTCCATCATAATAACCATAACCATCATAGATTATAGTTTTTCAGAGTACAGACTGTGGATATAGGTCTAGGTTGGAATCTCTTCCTAGTAATTTATCATCCAGATGACCTTGGGTAAGTTAATCCATTTCTCCAATCCTCAAATTCCTGGAGATGAACAAAGTAAAACCCATCTCACAGGGCTGGAGTAAGGATGAACTCAAGTAATGTGGATAAATTGCCATTGGTTCTCTTTATTCCTACACTTCCAGGTGTTGTCTACATATTGGGCCAGCTTTAGCTCCCTCAGCATAGCTTCCATCCTACTCACCACCTGCAGGGGTAAATCAGGACTGATGGTAATAAATCAGACACTCACAAATGTCCCCCACACTGCTGGCCTCACCTCCACCTCCAAAAACTCTCTTCCTAGCTCTCAGCAGGCTGGTTATTACCCAGTCCCTGTACATGCCTACAATGCCTTCTGTCTTCCTCCAATCAGGAATTCTACCTCTCCTTTCATGTCCTTCTTGAATCTTCTTCTTCCAGGGAGGCTCAAAGCCATACTAACATATGCCTCTTACCACAGGCCTTGCATAAGAGCTCCTCTCCCATGAAGGGGTGCTAGTCTTCTCTTTAAATTACCTCTGCAGATGTGAAACAAGCCTCTATTGAAGTGATCCGGGAAGGGGCTGTGGCTAAGTCATACTTCCTCCATCCCATTAGAAGCTGGCACAGGACTGGGTACACAGCAGGTGCTCATTCCCATGAATGGTGTGGTGGTGACATAGGTATTTGGTCTGAGAAGACAAATAGATTTAGTTTAGCAGAGCCACAGGGCTATAAGGTGGAGTGGCAAACAGCCATAACAGGTGTCTGGGTCACTACAGGATCCCCTGTTAGTATTTGGCTTGTAAGACAGAACATCCAAGATCTCAGAATGAAGGATGATTTTAGAGGGTGGCTGTTGACATGGCTACAATAGATCAGGAACAAAGCAGATTAGAAATAGGAAGAGACATAGCACAGGTGAGAAGGAAACCAAATTCTCTCCTCTTCATTCCTTACCACCTCCTCTAGTGACAGGATATTTCTAAGCAGGATGAAAATTTCATCTCTACCAAGTGTCTTCCCACCCTTTCCAGTGTTGGCCTAGAACAAGCAACCCTACAAGTATGGCCTAAATTATTCAGAGGCCTCTATGATTCAGGGGGTATGGTTCAGTCAAGATTCATGAGACTACTAAGACATCATTGGCTTTTTGTGTGTGTGTGTGTTGATTTGACCTTAAAGGAGGCAAAGCAATTGGGGGTGGTACATGCCAAACTGGGGCCCCACCATGGCATGTCCCACCCCCAAGGCAGTGTTTGTATTCCTCTTACCCATGTTATTCTTCACCAATGTACTTCCTACTGGTAGACAAAATGTCAGTTTTACTTAAAAATCACTCAATGAAACAATGCAAATTCCTAATTTGTACCTCATATCAACCTGTTGGATGTCTTTTTAATAACTTGTACAATAAAAATAGAAGGTATCACTTTTGCATACGGAAGTATGGATGGTTGTTAGGAAGAAAATCACTTGTGTTATTGAGTTGAAAGCCAACCCAGCTAAGTGTGTGTGTGTGTGTGTGTGTGTGTGTGTGTGTGTGTCAGTCAGGCCCTGTTCCTGAGCTTTTTGGTTTGCTCAAGGCTAGCACTCTATTGCTTGAGCCACACCTCAAGTTCTAGCTTTTTGATTAATTAATAAGAGTCTCACAGACTATCCTCAGCCTCCTAAGTAGCTAGAATTACAGGTGTGAGCCACCAGCACCCAGCTCTAGCTAACTTTTTATGGTATACCTAAATGGACAAATGATGGTTATTCAAATTTGGGTATTTGGTCAGTACTTTGTTGAAAATGAACAAGTGTTTCTGTCACCTCAAAGAAAATAGCTAAGACTACTTGTCGATCTTAAACTTTAAGCCTTCAAATAAAAAGCACTGTCTTGGAAATGCTGTACTGACACTGAGTAACAGTACACCCAACACCCTTAAAGACATTTTTGATAAGATTAGTGGGGATATTAGTGAACATTATTTTATATAGTATAATCATGAAG